TAGTAGAAGGGAGGATAGACGTAATTATCACCCTCGGCAGGCAGATTGTCAATGGTAGTACCAGATAGCTAGCAACTTAAGTTTCTTCTCATCACCGACCTCGAGCTCTGCGCCTGTTAGAAATACGATATGGTTATACCGCCATTTTCTGGAGGTTATAAGACCTTGGCCTTTTTCTTTATGTAACGTAAAATGTGTCATGTTTTTTGTGCGAGTCATTAAATGGTTGATTCATAATCTATACAAACAAATAAAATTGAAGTGTCTGCTTGTAATGTCCAAACAATAGCTTTTTACTACATATGGAAGTACTGGTATTATACGGTACATATAACAAAAAAAAATTAAAATTTTTGTCTGTTTTTGTCTGGCTTGACCGATTTAACGGGACTTTTAGCAGATAGCTAATGTTATAAGGAGTAACTTAGGCTACTTTTTAAAGAAAGGGACCTGCGCAAAAAATTAAAACCCATGAAATCTAATTTTAATAAATTTCACTCGGACAGAGTCATGGGGAACAGCTGTAAAATAATCTGTTAATAATTATTTTCTACAGAATTTGATTTATCAAGCATATTAAGTAATAGAGAACAGTTAATTTATATCCAAATATGCCGCGCGTAATGGCAACGAAAATAGATTTTTTTTTATTGGCAAGCATCCGAATGACTGGCAAATTTCTACTCATGCGTAGTTACGATACTAGAAAGTAACTTTGTAATTGATTTACGTTTTTCGTTTAAGTTCACGTGCGGTATGCTCCCCTAAAATTTTATAATAATAATAATAATGGCCTCCAGACCGAATTTCGGCCACGCCGGCCTGTCTCAACGGAGGCCCTTAAATTTTATAATACATACTTTTTTACACGTCCTCGAAATAAGTATCTGATTTACAAAGTTTATTTTGAGGACGTGTAAAGTCCGTCAATATGTATAGGAATCATCAACGTGTGGCCTGAGCCCAGCTGTGGCCATATGTCAGCGGCTTTCATCTTATTGATGAAATATCATCACTTCTTATCTCTTGAGTGTATACTCGGCAACTCTAAAGAAACAAAGCTCGTATCTTAACAACTTTTGGCTATAGTTGCCGAACTCAGTGAAGTCGATTCTAACCACCTGGATCACTACTGTGCAATTTACAAGAAGTTTTCTTCCTCGTACAACTTCCTTGTGGAATCTACTACCACCAGCAATTTTTCCGAACCAATACGACTTACGGACCTTCAAGAAAAGAGCCTACTGCCAGTTGTTCATGGGCAACGATAGTCACTTACCATCCAGTGAGTCGCATGCTTGTTTGCCCATATAAAAAAAGGTCCAGTCTTCATTCAGCCCATTAGGCTAGACAGACTACAAAATGTCCGTTTAGATTGCATTAAAACGGTTCACTGTGCGACAGTGAGACATTCAATGATTCACTTTATATTGTAAGCTAGCGGAAGTACTAGTGTACACCACTTACATTGGCAAACATCCGCGACACTCAAGTGTGATGACAGCATACTCGTACATATTTTTTACTACTGTAAGGTAGGAAGGACACCTTTGCTGTCTACGATTCCGTCTGGTCCTACCACTCTCGTCTATTGCAGAAATTGCTGTGCTTGCGCTTCTGTGTTCCGGTCTGACAGGTATAGAGTGCCAGCATGGTTACATGCTGTGAGACATTACATCTTAGTCCTTAGAGGTAACAACGCATCCGTTTGTTTGCTTACTTGTTGAAAGTTGTTCTTTGTTTGAAGTTGTCTTAAGGCGTCCATGGAGTGCATTTTTAAAAATAAAAATGGAGTAATAAACGAATTTACCTTCAACTGGGCTGTTAGTTCGTTTACCAGGTGGACTGTGAGTTCGTTCGTCACTTGTTATCAGGTGGACTGTAGGTTCGTTTGTCACTTGTTATTAGGTGGACTGTAGGTTCGTTTATTATTTGTTATCACGTGGACTGTAGGTTCGTTTATTACTTGTTATCACGTGTGCTGTAGGTTCGTTTGTCACTTGTTATCAGGTGGACTGTAGGTTCGTTTGTCACTTGTTATCAGGTGGACTGTAGGTTCGTTTATTACTTGTTATAACGTGGACTGTAGGTTCGTTTGTCACTTTTTTTAGGTGGACTGTAGGTTCGTTTATTACTTGTTATCACGTGGACTGTAGGTTCGTTTGTCACTTGTTATCAGGTGGAATGTAGGTTCGTTTATTACTTGTTATCACGTGGACTATAGGTTCGTTTGTTACTTGTTATCAGGTGGACTGTAGGTTCGTTTATTACTTGTTATCACGGGGACTGTAGGTTCGTTTGACACTTAAGGACACAATCAGGTGGACTGTTAGTTTACTCGTCACGTACTATCAGGTGGACTATTAGTTTACTCGTCACTTATCAGCAGGTGGACTGTTATTTCGTTTGTAACATGTTATCAACTGGACAGTAATTTCTTTTGTCACTTGTTATCAGCTGGACAGTAATTTCGTTTGTTACTTGTTATCAGGTGGACTGTAAGTTCGTTTGTGACTTGTTATCAGCTGGACAGTAAGTTCGTTTGTCACTTGTTATCAGCTGGACAGTAAGTTCGTTTGTCACTTGTTATCAGCTGGACAGTAAGTTCGTTTGTCACTTGTTATCAGGTGGACTGTAGGTTATTTTGACACTTTTCATCAGGTGGGCTGTAAGATTCTTTGACGCTTACTATCAGGTAGACTTAATTTCACTGGTCACTTATCACCAGGTGGGTTGTAAGTTCGTTTGTCACTTACTATTAGTAGATTGTAACTTCGTTTGTCACTTGTTAGCAGGTGAACTGTAGGCCAGTTTGTCACTTGTATTTTTTTATCAATAAACGCTATGACATAAGAGCGTGTGTTTCTTATGCACACCGAATACTGCGTCCCGTTGCATGCTCCTCGCCTTAAATTTTACACGTTGTTTAGAAAATGAATGTGATGCTATTCCAATCTAAATACAAATAAGTTTTTGAGTAGAGAGACTTTCGTTTTAAAATGCGCCATATTGGCACGTGGAAACTGTTAATAAATATTGAGCGTGTTCCAAAACACGCACTGAATTCGTGTTTATTATATTAGTTTTAATTGTAAATTATATTTTGGAACGAAGTTTTAGTCCCAAAAGAATGCATTAATTTCGTAACTCTCGTGTGTGTGAAATCTTAATTTGGAATTGCTTTCATTTTGTTCTTACGTATTAGGTTACTTACACTTAGTCGCACAGCACAGGCTAGATATTGTCAGAGATGACTCATTAATTTTTCCTTATATAGCAATTTGAATATTTATCATTCATTATTTATTCATTACACAGCCTATCAAAATCCACTACTGAATACAGCCACATAAGGATGATTTTACCATAGTTACCAGTTACCACACTTTGGCGGCGGATTTGAAACCACATGTTTTATTAGGAAGATGCTGCTGCCCATCCGTTACAGTTCCCCTTTGTCACCTCTTGTGATACGGGAATGATATGGGGTAGAGGATTCTCTTTCAGGAATCCACGGCGCGGCGTAAACTTTAAAGAAGGAATTAATTGTTGTCATTGATTTGTATATTTTACGTAGCCATTTAGATTTTATATGAAACTTTCGCCTTCTTTTTCAACAGCTCGTAAAATTCGCTGATGGACGTTGGTCTCTTGTTGTGGGTAGTTTTTACAACCCTATCTCTGTTGCCCGTCGCTGGTCCGGATATGTTACGTCTGGTGTAAACGGGATGATTACACCGCCACCTATCGGAAGTCAGAAGATTTCAGTGGTATTTCCCATAGTCGTTTTTTACATCACCCACGGCACGAAATTGGGTGATGGGTTCTTTTACTTACCCCCGCGGCACGAGTTTCGCCTATTTTTGTTGTGATGCTTGTTTTTTTCTCACTTGTTTGCGAGTGTGAACTTTGGTTTACCAACATTATTATTGTTTCCAAACCTTAGTATCTGTCTGTCTGTTGGTCACAAAAGCCGCAGAACATCATGTAAGTAGTTAAATTTGGCTTTTTTTATACAGTAACCCTAATACGGATGTGGTATACAAAATTTCAAATTTCGGAAAACCTGTAGCGCCGCGGCTAAAAGACTTCTTTAAAATGGAAATGGTTTGGGTTGGTTTTGGTTTTGGTTTGGAGGGGGGGGGGAGGTAAATTGGAAGCCATAAAATAGTTATAAGAACTTTATGTACGTAATATAAATAACTGTGGTTGGGAGGGAATATACGGTAATAGGCTCTTTTTTACTGGTTACGAGACATTCCATATTAGTCCTCAGGAGTGACAAAACTTCTGAATTTTTGCAATCGTGGATAAATGTTGATGATTATGAGCAACGGCATCTAAATACAATAAGATGGACTGTGTGCTCGTTCGTCACTCGTGCTTTTATATAACAATGCGCGGCGGCTGGAGAAATATGAGAAAAGTCGTATTTGCGACTCAAAAGATATCGATATCGATGATGTAATTGATCCCAAAGAGCAAGTCGTAGGGCTAAAGGGACACATAACTGATGATTCTATTGTGCTCATTTTCGTCTCGTCATCTCGAGGGTAATTGATGAGAATTTGTGTTTACTCTCTGAGCAATATTAATAGTTGTTGCTAAGAAATTAATATTACTGACGGCTCTGTGTCGCAGTGGCTTACCAAGAGGATTCCAATCCCGCACGGAACAAGTATTTGTATGACTTACAAATAATTTTACCGGCTCTGGATGTTTCTTGGTGTGAAATTTATACTTGTATACTGTCTCTACGCTATAGGAGAAAATCCTACTGATGGCGTAACGTATTTACAAAAAAAGATTAAGATAAAAGATTACTATTAGTTAAACTGTACACATGTATTTTTAGATCTCAATATTATGCTACATTTTTGTAATAAGTTAGTTACTGAATTTACGTGTGTGATTGGAAAAACAAGAAAAATGCTTTATCTACTTACTTACCTATCGGTCTATGTGGTCTTTTGGTTCTAAAGATTCCTTTCCTGTTGCAGTGTCGTCAGAGGCCCTAGACCGATCGAGGCTTGCGCGCGAGCGTCGCGAAGCCGAACAGAGAAAGAGGCTGGACGAGCTCCGCGCGCACGCTGCAGCCGCTCAGGCTCAGCGTGAGAAGCGCGACGAGGAGCGCCGCCGCAGACAGGCCGAGCAGCGGGCGAGGGACGACGACAGGCGGCAACAGGTGGGTTGGAATTATAGCCAGGTATAGATACGGTGATATATAGCGTGTTCCTCCAGACACACTCGTCTCCTTTGATAGTTGCCTCGATGAGAAGCGGTAGTAAAAAGTGAGTGAGTTAAATACACTTGTCTGGTGAAGGTGCTTGGGAGGTGAGGGAGCTTACGGCATGCCATTTAAATTTGAATAAATTTAATTTGTACTAACTGCATTATAAAATCATAAAAAATTACACGGAATCGATCTTTTGTAAATATTTGCATTTAACCCAAAACTAAAATCATTTTATTTCGTCGAAAGTGAAAACATAAACCACATTTAATAAAACTAAATTTAATTATTTATTCGCGTTTAATTTATTTTCTTAATTCTCCATATTCCTGGTTTTGAAAAGTTGAATGGTGCGGAAGTTAAATTAAACGCGATAAAATAATACGTGAAGCTAGTTTTATTAAATGTCTATTATTCATGTAAATATCTCAATTAAACACAATTTACGGACATCAATAAAAGCAGGACAGCCTGTATATAAGCAGGCTAATGACTCTCACCAATGAATTTGCTTTAACAGGCCGAGCAGCGGGTGAAGGACAACGACAGGAGGCTCCAGGTGCGTACTGATGACCCAACAGCATATATCCCTGCAGCATAAAGCTTGCTTTTAGAGGAGGCGACAAGCGTAATCTGTGTGTGCACAAAAAGAGGTAGAATTGAGTAACTTTTTAAGCATGGGTGTAAAAAGGCTGTATCTGATCTCTGGCTGTACATATACCTCCAGTGCTAGTGAGTGAAGGTAGGGCAAGTTCTGCTAAATCAAGACAGTGTGCAGGGGTGCTCAAAGCATTTGGACATAAAGAGGTCATCAACAGGTAAGGTAGATGTATAACCAGAAATTTACATCCGTAGTTATTATAGAAGTGTAAACTGTAAATATAGGTAAAATGTTATGCATAGATGCATAATTAAAAGGTAGCTCAGGCATCCCAGCTCCGATGTTATCGCATTAAAGCGTTAAATAGGGAATATATAGATTAGGACGAATATGTGCCTATATGCCAGCTTGTAACTTCTGACAACTAGTTACTAACACACATAAATATATAACACATATCGCTACATTATGTCGCTTTATAAGTAGTGGTAGCTGGTGAGTTAAGCACCTGCTAGAATTTCGCAGTCCGTGAGCAACTCAGGTTTATCTGCCGGTATCAATGAAATTGCTAATTGGAAATTAAGGGCTAATTCACTACGTGCTCGGTGGTGATGGCAAACATCGTGAGGAAGCCTGCATCTCTGACGTACTTTTACAGAAGTAAAATAATAATAAGCATTGCGCTTGTAATCCCCGAGGGAGTAGACAGAGTCCAAAGAGCAACGAGCTGCTCATACCACGTTTAGCAATTAACTAACTAGCCCGTCACCTACACAGAAATCACAAACCGAATATCCCACTAGTCTTTTTTTTAAATATCTCGACTCGAATCGACTGCCTCGTTGGTGTAGTGGTTGTAGTAGTGCGACTGCTGATAATGGGGTCCTGGGTTCGAATCCTGGGTCGGGCCAAAAAAATTAATTATTGAGTTTTTTCCGTCAAGAAATTCTCAGTAGCTGCCCTGAGTTTGGAAGTTGGCGGTGTCTAACCCTCGTGCCTCGGAAAGTTCGTAAAGCCGTTGACCCTGCGCCTGATTTCTCTCCTTCGTGACGGTTTACCGTTCCATCGGACTATGAGAGTGAGAGAATAGAGAGTGCACCTGTGCTTGCGCATACACTTGGGCACTATAATCCTGTATTGCGCCGATGGCTAGTCTCCGTTGAGGCTGGCCGTCGCGCCGTGACCGGGAGGACATTATTACTATTATCCCATTAGTCGCCTTTTGCGATATGTTAGGCAAGTAATTCAGTCGGTATATTCTGTTTTGTTATATGTACCACGTAAACATGGTACCTATAAATCCCAGACCGCGTAAGTAAAACGTTATAAATATAATGTTCAATGTATATATAACTGTTACTTGAAACTTTAAGTCCTATCGCAAGGTATCACGGACCTTGTTCGTGGATTCCAAAGGCGGCTACGCTGACCTTTGCTCTGTTCATTTGCGGACATCGCTCTCGATTTATTGCCGTGATTAGTTGTACCAAGTGAAACTGTTTTATTAGTTAGACCTATGATTGAAAATGTCATAGGATTGTAAGTTGTAACCTATAGAACAAGTATTTTAAACTGACTTTCATTAAATGTACTGTAACTGAGGTATAAAATCAATCATGCGCGTAGCTAGTTCGAAACACACTCACGTATACAAAATTATATAGAGAAGAGTGTATATTTATCAAAATTTTATTAGTAAGATATACTAATATGTTATTAGTATATTCAACGAATGAATAAATAGAACAAAACGTAGTTTTTTTTAACCTGTAAACCTATGTCGTCGACAACACCATACACCATAGTGTTCTAACCAACTACCGGTATAGGTATAATATGGGCAATGTCTCATAAAATATATCGGGGCAAGAAAATTCCGCCAATCTGGACTGTTCTTACTTTTTGCTTCTCTAACAACAGTAGCCGGAGTTCACTACACATGTGGGCTATTATGATTTTTTTATAGAATATTTTACGCTGGTAAGAATACCAGCGTAAAATAGCAAACATGAATAAAGAGAAAGCGGACTTGTTCGCAACTCTATTTGCCTATAATTCACGTCTGGACATTGGCAACAAAATCCCACCTAAATTACCTCACTGCGGGACCACTATGTCAGAGGTTTGTATCACAAACAAGGAGGTTCTCAAAACCTTGTGGTGTCTAGACGTGAATAAAGCTAGTGGACCAGATGGTATACCAGCTATTGTACTAAAGGCTTGTGCACCTGAGTTGTGTCCTGTATTCACACGCTTGTTCCGCCTCACACTTAGGACTGGAATAGTGCCAAAATCCTGGAAGCTGGCCAACGTGCAGCCTGTTCCAAAAAAAGGCAGCGGTGCTGACCCTGCCAATTATCGGCCAATCTCTCAAGCCAGACTCTACAAGATTATGGAGCGTATATTCAACGCCCGCATAATGGCATACCTAGAACAGAATGACCTCCTTAATGACCGGCAAATCGGTCAGCTGGGGACCTTCTAGCGTATGCCACACACGTATGAGGCGAGGTACTCGAGAATACTGGGGAAGCACTTGCCTTTTCACTCACAGAAGTGAGAGTGTGGTCCTGCCCCGGTTGAGCAGACCCGTTTGTGCTACAACTAATAAAGCTGCAGCGTGGCTCTACCACAAAAGAAATAGCTTGTCATTCGTACTTGACATTCGTTCTTCACTTCTATGTACAAAATTGATTGTCGCCTGATTTTATAAAAAATTTAAATTAGAAAACCTTTGGCACCGTTTCCAAAATATGACTTTCAAGCTTGACTTGGCATTAAGGCATTGAGGTGAAGACTTTTTTTGTCGGAAGTTGCTGGTGACCGCTTGGTTAAATATTATTTTTAAGTACGAACCAAAAAGCTTTTAGTTCTTTTTATGATTCCAATGGACAACTACAAATGTTAATTCTGAAGTCGAATTTCTTTTGTAAATTTTCATAAGATTAGGGGGCGTATTTTCTTGGAGAAGTCGTATTTTTTTCGACCAACTATAAAAATGATAATATGCGGACCTCCATACATTCCCTTAGACTCGTGACATACAACTTAACAGTTGTTAGATTGAAAATTGTATATGAATTCGCCTAGCGTAACCCTATAATTTTCCCTTAAAGAAAGTATGCACTAGTTATAAGGGTATTAGTTATAAGGGTCCGATCCTATCATTAAATAAATTAGATTTCGTAGTTCCATTAGTCCGTACTAAATTTTCACTATCGTATGCCACGGTAACTATTATGCATTGGAAAGGTGAAAGTAGCGGCGTTGCTACCGAGATGGCGTACCGAGTTCGAACGGACGCATTAACATTCTAGAAAGATTTATTATGTAACGTTGTTACATACTTCATAACCAAAATGTAGGCTCGACGGTGGGCCTGCTTACTTACTTACCCTGGGGCTTAGCGTCGATTTATAGCTGAAGTTATCCTATAACAAATAACAACTAAAAAAACTGCGGTTGGCAACCGTCTGTCAAGCGTAAGAAGTATAGCATATATTAGAGATGTCGCGAACGGTTTTTATAATAATAATAATAATAATAACAATGTCCTCCAGACCGAATTACGGCCACGGCGGCCTGCCTCAACGGGGGCTAGCCATCGGCGCAGGACAGGATTATAGTGCCCAAGTGTCTATTCCTCACTCTAGTAATCCGATGGGACGGTAAACCGACGCGACCGGGAGAGAGATCAGGCGCAGCACCAACGGCTTAACGTGCTTTCCGAGGCACGAGAGTGAGACACCGCCAACTTCCTGACTCCGGGCAGCTACTGAGAATTTCTTGACAGAAAAACTCAACTATTGGGTGTTTTGGCCCGACCCGGGATTCAAACCCAGGATGTCATGATCAACAGTCGCACTACTGCAACCACTAGACCAACGAGGCAGTTATAGAGATTTATTAATCGAATACTCGTCTCGAATACCGATTAATCGTCATGGTGAATAGACGAATAACTCGCCATTATTATTCGACTTAAAATAGAATATAAAAATTATTTAATAATTGTTATCAAACAATAATATCGCGCTTGTAGTCCGTAGTCTTGAACTTACCAAACATTCATTTGTTACTGTAATCAAAAATTTGCTTGTGTTAGTTGCCTGGATATTATACTTGTGCTCTTGCATACGCTGTTGTGGCTGTTATACGTTTGCTCTCACAGAGTGAGGTCCAAAAGTCTGCGTGTGTGAATGATTATACGATTAAAAAAACAATGCATTGCATGGAGCCAGACGACAAAATTAAAATCGGATTAAAATTCTTGTTAAATATACGTAGTCGTTGGTTCTTTAATATTTTCTTTTCATCTGCAATACACCATCTGTCTGTGGATCCAATTAGAGCCTCTCGAGCGCTTTGCTAAAATTAACACATTTTACCACACGTAAGTGTTGAGTACCTCTATCCGCTATTTGTATTCGCGTCCTAGCGCTGATCTACTAGTGTGTTAATTCATCACGGCGCACTAAAAGAGGAAATGCAAGTTTAGTCTTGCAAAATAGCAAGTAAGTCTCATACAAGGCGATAATATATGCTACTAAAATGTGCTTATCTCGTCGTAGATAATAAAAACCAGGAAACTTTTGGTAAATCCAAATGTGTTGCCTTAAGCGCTCATGTTATACGTAAATTTTTTAAAGTATTTTAAATACACACAAGTTTTCACAAATAACCTTATTTATTACTATTACTTCTTTTCCTATAATTTTTAGTCACACGTCAATAAAAAAAAGTTTAGAAAACCCAAAAGTGCACGTCTCATAATTCTCATATGATCGTGAAAAAATATAGAAAAAAATTTTTCAATCAACAATATTATGGGATACAGAATACAATTTTTTAATACCATGCACAAAATATTAGTGTTGTAAACGAATACTAGTAAAATAGCAGCGTAAAGTTGCTGTGCTTAGTCTAGTGAATGCCGAGAGCCGGAGTTTTTTTTAACT